AGGAGGAGGCTGGCTCTTTGCTGCAGACCTGGGCGCTTGGCGGCTCCCGCGATGCAAAGTGCCCCCCCGCCCCCCGCCCGCTGCCCCGGCCTGCTTCTCCAGGCTCCGCCGCTGGAAGTCCCGGATCGCCTCTGGGGGAAGGCTGGGTGAGAAGCGGAGTGAAGCTTCTCCCTGGCCTCCCGGCGCTGCGCAGAGGCTCTCACAGGAGCGTGTGCCAGCGGCCGGCGGCCCGGAGCGACCCCGGCTGAGAGACAAGGCAGCGCTTAAAGCAGCCGCTGCCGCCGCCACCGCCCCTCCTTTGCCCGGCGGGGCGTTCCGGGTGAAGGAGGGGCGGGCGCTTGGCGGCTCCCGCAATGCAAATCCCCCCCGCCAAGGCTGACCGCTGCCCTGCTGAGCTGCTTCGCAAAAGGATGCCCAGCTGAGCCTCACCAGGTATAAACCTCACCGCACGTCACTGTGATGACATTATCATTAATAGGTACAATGAGTAGAGAAGCTTGACAAAAATATAATTATGTAGCCTGATGACTATCAAGGGACAGAGAAACACTCCTGGTTGTTAATCATTTGTAAGCCAATCTTTCTTTTGCTATCTTTTCTGTAAATCCCCTTCATCCTTTTCTGTTTCTTTTCATGAAAGGCAGAAAGGCAGCTGAGTTTCAGGACAATAACAGTGGGCTGACAGTATAAAAATGCAGATAATTTCCCGCTACATGCGTGTGGTATCATCTGATTCATGTTGTAGTATTTCTGTCATCCACCACTATGAAGTTATAAATAGCATGATATAAAGTAATAAGTGTTTTGTCAAGAAAAAAAACCTCTCCAAAAAGGAAGAAAGAAAGTAAAACTTAAACATGTGTTATTAAATCAAAATATGAATAATTAAATATTATTTTACACAATTCAATGTGATTTTGATGTCATAAATGGAATCTGTAAGTTTTAGAATATACCTAATTACTGTAGGCTGGAGTCTTCCACATATGTGAAATGGCTATTCTCCTGAAGAAGCAGGAAAGAAAAGACCAAAAAAAAGAAAAGAAAGGAAAGAGAAAAAGAAAGAATAAAAGCAATCCCCAAATATACATTTATACATATCCACTTAAAAGTGAAGTCATTTTTAAACTGAAAGAGACATTCCTAAATAGAATTTGTAGGATCCCCCTTCTCCTTTAGATTGATCACTTAAGCATAAATAAAGATCAGGAAATCAACGCAACAAGGAGAAAAAGAGAATCTTTGGTTTATGCATGTTAACTTATTCTCTGCAAATGAAAGTTTTGCTATAATTTTTCTGTTTTGCATAGGAAGAATTACCAGGGTTTGGATAGAAATTATCTATTGTAATAGGGAAACCAGGTAGCTTCTGTGCCTGTTTATTAATTTTTTATTGATTTGTTTGATCTGTAATTTGGCAGTTTTAAGGAAACTTAAAATGGGTGTACCCGAGCCAGTCCAGAACACCGGATACCGTTCCGGTACGGTGCTCCGGAGGCCCCACACTCCCGCCCTCGCTCCTTTCCTACCTGTGCTTTAAGCTTTTGGCGCTTCTGCACATGGTGCATACGGCGCCTGCGCGACACTCTGCCGAGCAGCTGGAGTGTTGAAGAGGCTTGCGGAAGCATCACAGGCAAGTACGATGCACGTGCGCACCGCGTGCGTGCATATGGATGACGCCGAGGCCATTCCAACCATACTGTTTGGAACGGAATCCAGAACCCACCACTGTTTCACATCAACCTGAACTAGGTAACCATGCATTCATTCATTTAAATATTTATAACCTATCTTCTATCAAAAACTAAACTAGAACATTAAGATGGGATAAGAATAATGATTGTTTTATTTATTTATATTCATAGAAGATTCATAACAGGTCCTGTTCACTTGGCCAATGTACATTCTGTCCCATTTCAAAGATGCGAATATGGAGATGTAATGAAATACCTGGAGTGTAAAGCTTGTATTTCTATGCCAGACACAAATATTTGTAACATTAAGTGGCTTGATGATCAAATATTTGCAACATTAAATGGCTTGGATTTCTTTAAAATATATTTAAAAGTTAATCTCCACTTTTGGCAAAGAAAAAAGTGACTTATGACCATTTTCACACTTATTTGTAGCATCCCCATGGTCGTATGATTTACATTTGCTTGACAACCAACTCACATTTATGACAGTATCTTTGGGTCATGTGATCATCTTTTGGTAATGCTTTGACAAGCAAAGCCAATGGGGAAACCAGATTCCCTTAACAACTGTATTACTAATTTAACAACTACAGTGAATCAGTTAACAAATGTGGTGAGAAAAGTTGTAAAATGGGGCAAAATCCACTTAACAAATGCCTCACTTAGCAACATAAATTTTGGGCTTAATTGTGGCCGTATGTTGAGGACTACAGGTGCTACAGCCACACTATATGGATACAGTACTGTGAAAATTAGATGTTCAGCTGAGCGATGGCATGAGGGCAAAAACTGTTCCTGTGTCTAATTGTTTTGGCATGCAATGCCCTACAGCACTGTCCCAAGGGAAGGAGTTGAATAGTTTATGTCCAGGATGTGAGAGATCGGCAGATAACTTCTCAGCGCTTCCTCTGACCAATGCAATATGGAAGTCTTCTATGGAAGGCACACTGGTTGCAATTTGCTGACTAAATAGCAAGGGGGCATTGGAAGTATAAGTATTGACTCAACATCGAAAGTTCAAAACATTCTTAAAGTTCCATCTCATCCTGGGCACCCTTTTTTTCAACTAATACCATTACAAGTAGAAATAGGCTGAAAAACAGGTTCTATCCCAGGGCAGTAACCATATTGAATTCTATTGTATAGTGCAATATTAATGCAATATCAGGGGTTTTCAATTCAATTGTATAGAATGTGAAGGATGTGTGTTTGTGTTTTATTTTTATAGTTATAATGAGCATGACAAGGGCATTTGATTTCATTGTAGGAGGTGAAATGATAATAAACTAAATTAAACTAAACTAAACTAAACATGGCTTTGACAGGTGGATTGGGATGTCAACTTCTGAAGATATCACCGTGTCATATGATTCTCAATCTTAATCCAATACCCAAATTTAGAACTCTGTTTTTAAAAGATGTCATTGCAGTGGTTAGTTTTTAAAAGAAATGAGGGATTCACCTTTCCCATACCTTCTCCCCTACTAAATAGCTTATTTCCTTTGCATTGTTATGTGCTGAATTTGTTTTTAGGACTGTAATTTCATTCCCATCTTTATATTCAGACAATAGCATATCTGAAAGTAAATTCTCTGGTATTAGTTAAGGATTTACAGATTACAAAACCTCAGTTCATTGATATTTATGGAAATTCTCAGTCATCCAGGTCATGGTTATCCTAAAGGTCCTTTTTTTCCAAAAGGCAACTGGATTTTCTTTGTTTCTCCCTGAAGGACTGAAAGAAATTTCTTGGGTGAGAAGCAAAATGTCTTCAAGAAAAAAACAAAGGAAGCCCAGATGCCTTTTGAAAAAGCACCTTTGAGTCAGTTCACTGATGATGCAAATTTGAAAGATAAAATCTCATTCTTTAGCATCAACAAACACATTAAATGCTTTCTTTCCTCAAATGAAAAGGAAAGGATATGATCTGTGACCCGTCTGTAATTCATTATAATGTTAAGAGATAATTTTATCTATTAATGGCAATGGGAAAATATTACTTTCCCCTGAAGACTGAGAACTGGTATAACTGTGTAAATCCAAAGTATATCAAGTGGATGTGAAACCTATGATTTCCTGCTACACCTTACCAATTCATCATCACAGTCATCCTGCACAAGGCCTTCCTCCTCCTCCTCCTCCTCTTCTTCTTCCCCATTTAATGGCTCTTCCGTGTTCGCCTCTGCTTCTGATGATGTGTCTTCCTGAGAAATTTCACTTTTGTTTCCATCTGCCTTTTTTCTAACTTCTGCAAAAAAGCCAAATTGTAAAATACCGATGTGAGTTGAGGACCCTGTTTCGTTGGCAGGCTTTATTTGGCTTATCTCAGCATATCTAAATAATCAAGAATCCAAGCTGGAAACTAATTGAGTTTCACCAACTGTCCCTGTATGTTGCCACATTGGGAGCATCATGAAAAATTAAAATGGCACCTGGACTCCAATGCTAGGAACATCTTATCAGAAAGAAAAAAATATATGAATGGAATATCTCTTGGGGAAATGTCTGCAATGAGTCTTAACAGAGCCTATGATCCTGACATCTTCCCAAGGTTGCCCAGAGAAATACCACTTCATTTCTTTCCCTTTTATCATTTAATAGCTGGTTATTCCAAAGTATAACCTGAGATTAATAGCACGGAGTCCAGGCTTAGAGAAAAGTAGTCTCACAAATAATTCTTGGCTTCGTTTACATGACTTGGTTAACGTTATTAACAAATCTAGTTAGTTTCATTGTAACTTAATATTTTTTGTGAACCCAGGCCATATGATTACTTTATGGTTCAATACATAATGCAAAAACAGAAAATGGATTAACTGGAAAAAACAACAACAGGTTAACCTTGATGAATGCAGTCCATGAATTAAAATTGGGCATGGTTTAGAAGCAATACAAATAATCAATTGGGGATTTGGGCTGGATGAAGAAATGAGAAACATTTAGAATATTTCTATTCTGTTTCTTTTTTGTGTGTTAAATCTACTACTGCATATAGCAGGGGACAGGCAGAAAAAAAATCAAGGTGGCTTACTGTCATTTAGATATATGAAATAGAGCAAGGATAGAAAGCCTGTTAGGCTTCCAGATAGAACTAGATTGTGGCTCCCTTCATCTGATTAAGATTGATGGAAATTGGAATCCAATCTCTGGAGGATTGCAGCCTATGAATAGGGAAATGGTGTCCTTCAGAGGTTTTGGACTATGTAATCTGCTGAGCTACAGATTCCTATCAGTCTCTGCATCCTTTACTAGCACAACTAACCAATGAAAATATATTCTCAAGGAGAAAAAATCAGCAGGGGAACTTCAGAATACTTTTATATTCAGATGGGAAGCCTGATAGTTTTTTGAAATCACAGGTTTCCAAGGGCTATTTGGTCTTGTTCTGCTATTATGATCTTTATAATACAGATGCCAGCGAAATATGCCCATACTTTAGATTGCCTAGAAACAGTCACTTATATTTAATAACACTGATGCGTTTTTACCCAATATGGTGCCTACAGACAGATTGGATTATAACACCATTAATCATCATCCACTTTGGCCCTTGCTGGCTGGAGATGCTGTAGTTGAAGATGGAGAAACACACACAACTCCTGTACTGGCTCCTAGGAATGGAACAAGGGCATCAGAGAGCTGGACTGTAATTGCAAAAAGTAACCAAAGGTCTTTTGTCCTGAACAAAGGAAGGCCAGCCAGTACTAGGAACCTGGTGCTGACTTTCTGCACTTGAACTCCTACTGTGTCTTGGTGTTATTGAGGAGGCATTTGCAATCAGCCAACTGACCTGTGGGTGCTTTCTGTTGTTCAGCAATCTGCTCCAATCTGCCCAAGAGAGCATCAATGTTGGATTTGATCTGCGTCAGCTCAGTTTTAATTGTCTGCAGTTCACTGCATTTCACTTGGAAGACAAAAAGTTAGAAGAAAGCCTTATTCTTTTGTCTGGTACAAATGAGCAATTTGCTTGAGCAGAGATTTAATTATACTTCACATATACCTTTTAAGTTGCAGGTCCTGCTTGGCGTCCGTCACAATAAGGGCTTATTGGGTTCAGTATAGGACAGGGTCTCGTTTGCCTTTCATAGCTGAGGAGAAGACAGGAGAATTTTGGCAGGTACCATTTCTCCCATCAGAGTGCACCATCAATGGGAACAAACTACCAAAACCTAAAGGCTAGTGCACAGCTACTTAAGGGTTTGGAAGCCCTGTGCTATATTGACTCTGGCAAGAGAGTGATATTGTAGGTATCAAAGAATTCCTTTTTTAATGCTTAGAACGGCCTCCTGCCACACTCTCCCAACTTTGGTGAGGTACAAAATTTGCAGCTCTGAGCCAATAAAAAAAACAAAAGAGGAATCTTTCACCTCATTCCTTGAACTTTTTAGAAAGAATTCCCCTTCATTTATAATTTACATAACTACTTAGTAGTTGACAAAATGATCCTTACAGGTAAATAAACACAAATATATGCATCACATTGAACGGACATGTTGAACTCCTTTATTTAGGATTCTCCATTACATTATTTCCTTATTTTTGTGCCATCTGTCAAGTGGGTTCTGAGCTGTTGACAGACTGTCTTAAACTCCACCCTGTCCCTTTTTGCCCCCCTTGGATTCTTTTTAAATCATATTTCTTTTCTTTTTTGCAAAACTGTATTTCCTGATCCCACTGCTATTTCCTTCTTGTATCCAGATCAGCTATTTGGGGCAAATTACCTCTTGGATCCCTCAGATTGCATCCAGCCTGACATTTACTTCCCAGCCTTTAATTTCATATAATTTTCACTCAGTCTTCCATGTTGGCAAAGCTGAGAATACTGTTTTCACTGGAATGTTTTAGTTTCTTAAGAAAGGAAGAAAGGAGTGTTTTCCTATTTTTATTTCCAAAAAATCTGGTGCATGAATGATGCAGTACAGTTCAAAAGAAGTTCATTAGATGAATGATTAATTCAATAATAGAACAGAGATGATAATTTGAACATCACCTTTTTATTTTTGCAAAAAGCTCAATCAAGGGCATGTATTCTTTCCTCCAGCCATTTAGTCTTTTGTTATTCAGTGACAGTTTGAATTCAGATGTTTCTGGCTGTAGTTACCAAACAATTGTATCTCATTGGCAGCCAGTTTTTGTGGTAAAAAGTACTGACAAAACATTAGCTGAACGGTCTTGCTATGGAGACCAAACTGGCTCATTCTACTATGTGTTTCAAATATTTTCTCTTTCACTAAGTACTTGGCTTGATGTATTTTTTCCTTTTCTCTGTGATGAGTATGTGTCTATTTTTAATGCTTCATTTATTTCTTATTGTCATTGTTTATAATATATTTTGCTTGTATTTTTACAACTATTCCCTTGAGGGCAGAAAAGTATGATATTAATAAATAAAAAAACAAGCATTCTTTTCTTTATATAGATTCATTTTAATTCACAGGCTTGGCAAGATCATTATCAGCTCATTCTATCCTTGCCTATCCTGACCAAATAACCAGGTTGCCACTGACTCCATGGTTAGGGGAGATAATGTATATATCATTGAATATGAAATATATTCCAACCCACTTAAAGAAACAGTTCTAAGATCTTTTACTTAAATAAAAAGCCTTTCCTTGCTCTGGAAGGTATCTTAATTATGAGCCACTCTCAAATCTTCCATTTGTAGGTAAGGTGATTAAGAAAGTGCTGCCCTCATCCAAATGCCTTTGGATGAAACTTACTGTTTGGACCCATTTCAATTGGGTCTTCGTCTGGAAGCTGGTACCAGAAATATTTTAGTCGTGTAGTTAATGGACAACCAGAAAGTTAATCAACCTAACTCTACTACTAACTGACTCCCATGAACATTGCTCAGTTCTGGTAATGTTTTAAGTCAGTGTTTCTCAACCCTGGCAGCTTTCAGATGTGTTGACTTTGACATGCTGACTTGAGAGTTCTGGAAGTTGATGTCCACATTTCTCAAAGTTGCCAAAGTTGAAAAATACTAGCATAAGTGACCATGTCCACCTTTGCAGTTCTAAAGACTGCTTCTCCTACTATCAACCTACCTAGTTAGATAAATCAGCAGTTTTGAAGATGTTCTGTAATCAGAGGTGGTATTCAGCCGGTTGAAATCAGTTTGGGCTCACCCATCTGCCGTGGCTCTATGCCATCCTATTTAGCCATGTTTTTCAAGCCGCGTGCATGCATGAAAGCCCCACGCGCCAACAGGGAAGCCCGCACACATGCACGGAAGGCGCGTACACTCACGAAGTGAGCGTGTGTGCACATGTCGAACTAGGGGTAAACTTCTGTGAAACCCACCTCTGCCTGTGATGGATTGTGACAATAACCTTGAGGAACAGCAGGAAGTGCCACAACCCAGGCAACAGTCACATAAAGAGAAACCCAAGTCCAAAGCAAGATCTTCTGCTTCTCTAGAAAAAGAACATTCAGAGTTGCATGATTGATACCAGTCCTTTGAGTTAGACCAGACTTGAACACCATGGTCATGAATACTGAAACGACTTTTATTACAGGATTACAGAAACAGAATCTCACTACTCTGAGTATGTCTCCCTATTCCCTACTTTTACCAGAAAGAGAATTAGGGAAGGTCAAGTCAGATATTTTCTCAAGTTCCATTCCTGCTTTAGACTCAGATTTTATCTTATCTGACCTTGCCTTCACTGTGGCTGTTCCACCTCTTTGTCGGGTTTATTCTTACAGGTCATTACATGTCCACATTCCAGAAACTGAGCGATCTGGTTCACAGGAGAGGGCCTTCTTTTCTGGGGTTCCCAAATGGTGGAAATCTCTCCCCAGGGAGATGAGTTCTCCAGCACCCTCCTAATGTTTAGGGAAATGGCAACAATGCATTTCCTACCAAACTTTGAAGAGATATTGATTTAATGATATCAATATCAATTCTGATTTCAATTGTATTGCTTTTACTCTCATGTGTGTGTTTTATTCTTACCCTGCGGTAAGATGGGTGGCCAATAAATTTATTAAATAAAAAATGTTGTAAGCAGCCTAAGTCAAAGATAATCATTGACTTAGGACTATATTAGATCCCCCCCATTATGATTTTAAGTCATAATGGTTGTAAAACAGGCCAGTCATGTGACTGACCCGATTTCATAACATTTTTGGCAGTGGTTTTTAAGTGAATGCAGTGTTCATAAATTAGCTGCTGCAGTCATTAAGCAAACCAATGGTTTACTATTTACATTTTGCCCCCCAAAATGGAAGTAAATGGGTTTTTTTTTTGGCAAAACTGTCATAAAACCTGGTCATGTAATGGTGGAAGGCTGCAAATATTCATAAATATGTCCTTGTTGAGTGCCCAAAATTCAATGACTGGGAGGGGTGTGTGGACATCAGAACTTTGAAACTGGGTCATACGTAGCCCCAAGATAAAGTCCATCATAACTTCAAATGTCTACCTGTATGTAAGAAACAGCTATTGAAATAAATTCAAGAATAAAATAAAACCAATGTTTTGCAATATATGAAACACTTATCAGTAATTATGTTTGCTATGTATGTCTGCCCTTGTGCATTTTGCTTCAAAGGCAAGTCTGAAACCATTATAAACATTACCTCTGCACAGTAGCATGAAACTTACATTTTAATTTGGCGGAGCTGTTCACAAGAGCAGCAGATCTGGCAAAGAGCTTGACCGGGATAGTTGCTTTGACACGTCGCACTAAAGGTATGGTGACTCGTGGCCGCTTCACGGGAACCATCCTGGGTATGGGGGAGACTCTTCCTCGATACTCAAAGAGTCTATACAGAAGAAGAAGAAATGCTTTCTGGTAGTGATTCCAGCCAGATACATTAGGAAATATTTCAAATCAAGAGATGAAAACCACTGATGCCCTCTAGAGGGAGCTAAGACTTCATCCATTCCAGCCATCTGTTCTTGCCTGGGCAATAAAGCCCATCAGAGATTACAGTTGATCATTAAACTACTGAGGAGAGGTATTGTTCAACCATTATCCTGCAAGTTAATGCTGACAACTCTCAAAGAAGTTATTTAATAGGTTGCTTTAACAGCAAGATAGTTGCCGTTAATTCATTTTTAAAAATACTTCAATGTTTCATATTTGAGAATTCCTTAGGCAAATCTCTGGGATATTAGAACAGATCATCCAAGGCAATTATTTTGCTGTCCTATCATAGCATCTTCCCCCCTCCACTTGGAGCCTACTCATTTCTTAAAACAGGACACAAAACTAAGATGCAGCCAATAATATTTATACTACATTACACCAGGAAGGAAAAAATACAGTTGCTTAAGCAATTGCATCTGGATCCTTCTCAGCCCCTAATTCCCAAAGTCTTTTAAGAGAGCTAAAGAGGTTGAGGTGATAAGAAGTAAAAGACCTATTGAAAAACATGTCTCACTTTGGTAGAGAGCAAACACCTGGAAGCAAACTGTAATAATATATATATATATAGATAGATCTGGACTTTGAAGCTAAACTTTAAATGTACCAAGTGCTCTTCTCAGATTCAGCAAAGATTGATTCAGTAACCTCTGGGGAATTTTGTAGTTCTACCTCTATGCTTCATCTGCTACTAGTTCAAAACTTTGCTATTCGTTCATGTAAAAAAAAACACCCCATAGTTGCATTTTAAAAAAGTTAAAATAAAGTTCTTTTCATATACCTCATGACTGCTGAAACCCCTGTTTTACGGCCAACTGGGCACTTCTATTTTGATTTAAAATTTTTTAATCTTTTGGAGAGAAACTGTATTGTACAAATGCTCAGACACCTTGGTTTTTCTTAGAAATGGAAAGGAAGAAACAAGACAGCCTTTGGGTTTATTCAGTGAATTCAATTCTCTAGTCAACAAGAGAACTGTCGCTATTGCTACCTGCAAACGGCGATGCAAGAGAACTCAATGGACACTGAGTGTGTTTGATGCTTTTAGAATGGGGCTATTGAGTGGCTAGTCCAGTGACAGTGGTAAAATGACAAGCCCGCTATATCTGGGCTGCAAAACCATGGACATCTCCTTCATGACAGCAAAAGAATTTTTGGGCAACCCTTCTGGGGTTTTGCCGCTCCAATAATCTCAATCATGAAGTCCTCTGGCATAGTTGGCTGAAACCCTGTGGAGGAGATCTCCCATAGCATTTCTTACAGGATAGGTTGTTTTGGGGAAATGCAAGCAACCAGTGGAAAATGAAGAAGTCAAGGATTCCTCATGGACATCTATAGCAGTGTTTTTCAATCTTGGCAACTTGAAGATGTCTGGACTTCAACTCCCAGAATTCCCCAGCCAGCGAATGCTGGCTGGGGAATTCTGGGAGTTGAAGTCCAGACATCT